GGTTTTGACTTCAAGGACGGGCTCCCTCTCAAACCTGATTACGGGGTTTTCTATCATCCCTCATTTGTTCTTCGGCATGGGTTCGTTTGCGTAGCACCCTGACACATCCAAGCGCTTGAAAAGCGCGGACTCAGGGCGAGGATGATGACCACGCAACAGGGTCTACCTAGACTGCCCCGATTGGAAGCTTCAAAGTGAGTAGCCCCAAGTCTACAAGAAAGACCGCTGCTTCTCAACAGCCTAAAGAGAAAGGCATGCATTCACTCTCAGCTCTTTGACGACGCCCAGAATTCAGGGTCGAGTTACTTTGAGGACGTGACTAGGCGATACTAGGTGACTGACTGCTTATTAAGTCTTACCAGGGCTGGAAGAAAAATGAGGTGCCTAGCGAGGCAAAGCTTTTGGAGACAGGCACAGCTCTGGTCCACGCTAGATCTGCTTCCTCCCCAGCTCGAGAGGCCGTCTTGGCTCTGAAGTTGTGCGCTGCGGAATCTTGACACAGAGGTTGATACATCATCTTGCATTGTAGAGACACTGTTACCAGGACCATATCATCAATTGCGAGCTGTGGCTGACTGCGCATCTCTTATGAAGGACTTCAGCGGGGCCTCTTCACCTTCCATCAAGCATCTCATGGAATGATCCCCGCCGTCAATTTCCACAAGCTGTATTCCTGTTGCCGCTGCCATGGTGCGACTGTGCTCGATTGGGATTCTCTCATCTGCAGTTCCGTGCACAATGATGACTCGTCCAACGTAATCCCCGGATTTCAATCTTTGCGACATAGCTGAATAGACAGCCGCTGGTGCATTTTCTGGGCTGTAAGCACCAAAACGGCCTGTAACAGCGAAGTATGCAGGTGCAATTAAGACAGCAGGTCCTTTCCAAAGACCCCTTGCTATGGCCAAAGTTGCGACCGCACCGCCCCATGAGCTGCCGATCAGCACGCCGTCCCTGTTTTCAACAGAATTCATCTCGTGTACTTGGCAGTCCAAACACTGCTCGAGAGAGGTCTCCACACTGAGGGATGGCAAATTCCAAGGCGCAGTAAAAAGCATGTTAACAATAGCATTGCGAGCAAAGCTATGGAGTTTCAAAGGGTTTGCCACCGACATCTTCATGTCTACGCAAACAACGTTGTTGTACTTCTCCTGCAGCCATTTGTGCTTTCGTGCTCCTGGACCGGACTCGAGGCCATGAAAAAAGATAATCTTCATTGCCAGCCTGTGCCAAAGCACAGGGGCGACAAGCTATGCGACAAGCCAAGGGGAGCTTCTGATGCTCCTGCACGGTTTGAGCCATATCAGTGCAACAAGGGGACCGGCTGCATGCCCGTGAAGCGGTGTGTGACAGGCAAACAAAGCTTCACATGCCTTCTCCAGGATCTCCCAGCAGGAGGCCAGACGAGACCTATGTTCAGTAATCAGCGCCTAGCACTACCCTTTGGGAGGCCCTCTTAAGGTTCCAGCACATCAGGACGCTTTCGGCCAGTTTTTTCTTCTTGATCCGAGTCCCAACTGTCCGGTGCCTAGCGGAAGTCGAAGAACATCAACCAAGTTGTCAAAATTCGCAGGCTGTCAATGGAACAGCCGCCCGTTTGACCGAGGAGCCACCAGTCGCAAAGCTTCTCGGAGCAATGGCGTTGTCCGCGCGGCGTTACGCTGCAAGGTCACAGATGCGCCCAGGTCCTCACGTAAACAGCACTGACACTCCTGACATGCACTTCTGAGGGTGGCCAGCTAGACAGATAGAGGTCCTCCTCTGGCTCAGACTTGCCAGGATGAGTTGACTGCGCGGCTGCCTTCGCAGCTGCAGCATCTGCAGCTTCCTGGGCCTTGCATGGGATGTCTCAAGCGTTGCAGTCCAAATTCAGCGCCTACAATGGGCGGATGTGCTTGATAACCCTTTCTGTGGATGAACTTGCCTTGGCCTGCTCTTGCTCCAGCTCCTGCACTCAATGTGTCTTGCCTCAAAAGATAGTTGTTCTTCAGGCTTGGAGCATGCCATGTACAGCTCCGGCGCCATTGCCCGTGCTCCAAATTGAAGTGCCACTCTCGACACCGCAAGTGAGCGACGGAAATTCTTGAAGAGTGTGGCTGCCAGGATTAGTGGGTCAAAGCCTTTTGGGGGACGCAACGCTTTCCGGATAGCTTTGCTACCACGTTGGCCATGCACGTCAAATTACGTCAACTCCAATTCGATAGCATCGACTGCCGACATGTGCTCCTCCAGATACGCTTTGCGCTTCTCTTCTGGGCTGAGCAGTTCTGCAGGCATCTCCAGATCTGTCGCGACCCAGGGGTCTCAAAGAAGTACATGGCACCAAAAAGGAAGCATGGAGGGCCCGGAGCCTTCCTCTTCAGCTTCCTCTGGGAGCGAGGACGCTGCCGCCACGACCGCTGCAGGCCTGAGATCCAAGGCCGCTTTGGGAGGAACCCTTCGCCCTTCGCTCACGTTGCCCAAGCTGCGGCTTCTTCAGGCTCTGGCTCGGGCAAGCACTGCGGCTGACTAGCAGCAGTATCAGTAGTTCCGACCTCTACTGGCCCCGGCTGACCTCAGAACAGGCAATTTCCTTGTAAGGACTGTCGGAGCCATGGCCGGGGCAGCAGCCAAGCTCTTCTGCACCTAGCCACTTCAGGGCTCACACGGATTGTTGACTTGCTCTTGGGAAGCCGTCTATGGTCCTAACCTCGCACTTCTTCGGAGTTCGCGTCTGCCTTTGGCTTCTGGACTTCACCTGTAATCATGGCAGCCGTGCGGTCAGCATCGTTCAGCAATTTGTGTTGGGGTTAGCCCAAGCTGAGGAATTGAAATTTGTCCCAGCTTAAGGGGATCTGTCTGCTAGCCACGTAGCAGTTTAATGGTTGTCAGGAGCCCATTCAAATTGTGCCACGTTACAATCCTTTAAAAAAAGCTTGGCCGAATCAGTCCGCATGCCATTAGGCAGCAACAACGCCGTACAGGCAGCCAGGATTCGAAGACTTGATACTTGCTGACGTGGGCAACCTCCTTGTCACCCGGCCTGCTGTGAGCGTCTCTGCAGTCGAGAGCTGATCTTGTGGAACTTCCTGAACAGCTCCTGAGCCTCTCCGGATCATCACATGACATCTATCTAACCTATTTAGGCTGGCAGCCAGCAGCTGGAGCAGGCTTCTTGTGCAGTAATGATCCAAAACTTGCCTTCTGCGGGACTCTCTGCAACAGGGAGCTGGTCTGGTGGAACTTCAGAAACTCCTCGTGCAAGATATGGCCGAGGCTTCTTCACCATCACTATTGCAAATTCATGATCTCACTGCCTTGGAAGTTTACAAAAGGGTCTAGCGGACTCGTTGAGTGGTGTGATGTCTCCGCCAGGGTCGTATTCGGATTCAGCATGTTCTGTGGAGCGCGGGCGGTGTGCAAGGTGACTTCTGAAAGCTGCATAGGAGTCCAAACGCTGATGAATCCACGTGCACCTTCTGTTCTGGTAAAAGAGGCCTCGTGAGGAGCGTCACGCAATTTGCAGACAACCAGGGAGCTTACTTGAGCTGAGGCCTTTGATGCCACTTGTTCATGCTAGAAAGAAGTATTTCCTCGCACGTACGGGCGACTGCCCTTGTTGCGCGACACATCTCAGCCACCTGAAAATGTGTTCTGCGAAAAGCAGGAATGAGGATGAACCGCTAATGACAAGTTCTTCCTAGAGTTGCGAGGCAGGGAAAGAAAGTCAACTCCATGGCTGTGTTACAATCCCTCAGCACTGCATGCCCGAATGTCGACTTGGACCCGTGCAAGTTTTGAGACAAAAAGCTCTACCACAGATGAAGCGACGGCAGTGGGCGTACCACCACTGTAAAAAATCACATGAATGACTCTGCTGCTTGACTTCTGGACATCCATGGTCGTGCAGCAGCAAGAGCGAGGTTATGTTGCAGAATGTCAACTTGCTAAATCGAAGTGCCCCGCATGTCAGGGAAGTCTCTGCCCGCACCTTGTCTTTCAACCTCCGATGTGGCCTCCACCGCGGACTGGGCTCCTACAAACAGAGCTAGCTGATGTCAGGATGCCTTACAGCTGGAGGGACGACACAGCAAGCTTTGTCGCGGCCTCCTTTGGGACTAGTCGCTTGAGGAGCGTTGACACCGAGACCTAGCACGGCATGCTAATGGTGACCAGAGTTTAGCTCAGACAGAGCTGAAGATGTCAATGTCAGATCATTAATCCTTGTCCTTGTGGTCCTTGTGTAATTTACAGGAACTTCGGCACCCGCCTTCTTGGGATTCTTGGGTCACACCCTGCGGACTGGGAGGGCTTGGAGTTGCCACACCTGGCCGCAGCACGGAAATCTGAAGCCTGTAGCCTTACCTTGTGACAGGTACCTTGTGGTTCTGCACTCGCAGCGGCTTCCACACTTGATGGGTCTGCCAAAGCTGGAGCTCCACCTAGAAGTCACACGCGAGCTGTTCTGGCTTCTGTCCTGTGATGACAGACAGCTTGAGGCGGCTGCCAGGACCAGTGACAGGAGAAGCTTCACCTGTACTTGAAAGAGCCATGTTAAGAAGCAGACTTTAGACGAATACTAGCCGCAGACAGCTTCCGCACGAAACCCGAACACCAGATATGTGGCAGACTCAAGATTGCTCTCTGGCATCAGAAACATGTGGAGGCCTCTGCCAGCAAGCTGCGTGTCAGACAGCGCTGGTTGTTCAGCATCTCCTACAACGTCTTGCGAACAAACAGGACATGTTGCAAGCTCAGCCGTCCGACCTGGAGAAGAATGGGACGCTGTAGCCGCTTCTGCGCCAGTATCTGGCGCTGTGCCAGTATCCGGCGCTGTGGTGTCTCCTGCAAAGCTGCAAATGGCTAACTATCCGGCAGGTAGAGATGCTGTCTTCTACCAGCTCCTGCTGCAACTGGAGTCTCTGGACCTGATTCTTGGGGCCAGCCAAGAGGTTTTGAAGGTTGAACGCTTGAGACGGGAAAAGTCAAGCCCCTGGCCCCTCCCAGCTCCGTCAGTCGCAGAGCAGGTGCTGGGGCTCGGGTCCGCGGCAACCACACCACTAGGTGGCAGGTCAGATGCGGGGCCTGCTGCTGCAGAGAATATCTGTGACTTTTTGCAGCCCCGAGAATAACGGCTAGCAGTCGAAAGCTCTCCCTTCACGTAGCCTGGCAACTGATCAGCGGCAATTTCCAGCAGTTCGCCTCCGCATTGCCGAGTCTGAATGAAAGCCCAGCCTGCTGACACTGAGCTGCTCTGCGACCAGCCTCCTGGGAGTTCGTGATCAGCACTAGCGGGTGCCACTGTCTCCACAGACACCTGGAAGCACACCAATTTGGTAGCTGAGGACAGGTGGGGTAGCAAGAGCGACAGCCAAGTGCAGCTGCGCGCCTCAGTGGCATCAGGCTGAGATGATCCAGGCACCCTTTCAGGGTCAGCAGCCTTCGGTGGCACTCATGTGCACACAGTCACACTCCTGCTAGACTAGACTCCGTGACGGTTTATGAGAACCTCTTCTCTTGTGCAGCTTAGCCGCCAAAGTCTTGCCAGAAGAACTCTCAGGCGCTCCCTGCGCTCCCAGCCCTTCACCAGAACCAGCTTGGTTCGCTTGATCATCTGGACCTGGCAACAGTTGGCGACGTCGAACGCTACGCCATCTGCATCTGTCTGTGCGAGCAAGCCGCCTGTGGCTCCCGTTGTTCCTGCAACCTCCGTCTCCGGAGTAGCTAGAGCTGAAACCTGTCAAAATAACACGGCACAGGTCCTCACGCCAACTACAGGGCACGTTCTTATGGAGGGCCTTTTCGTCAGCAAGCCCTTGGCTCTGCAGGAGCAAAGCCTCTGCATCCAGCGTGAGGCCTGCAGTTGCAAGCTTATTCGCAGGCTTCAAAGGCTTCTGGACAAACAAAGCCACAAACCAGGCCGGTCTGCTTGCCACACACCAGCATGCAAACTTCTTCGGTTCTTTCTGCAGGGCTACAAAACGAAATGGGCAGGCTCCGGCCATCGGACATTTTTGAGGACTTCCACATCTAAGACGTTCTAAGACCCTGAAACTCATCCACATCGCCTCGATTTCTCACCCTTTGCATCTGGAATGATTTTTCTGGGTTTTCCGTGCACTTCCATTCGGGTCCTTGCGACTGCCTGCGGCGGGGGGGGCCCTGCACTATTTGTTATGGTTGATGTAAACTCTCCCATATTATGCGTTTTCTCCTTGAAGGCAGGAGACTCCCAAAGCAACAGTGGCCCTGCTAATCAAACCAAAGTGCTGGTTTCTCCTATGGAGGCTGCAGCCGCACGGCGATCCTGCCAAAGCGCAAGACTTATTTCTCTGAACACAGCCCGAGTCCGCATCGCTACCGATGCCTCAGTCTCAGCCCCTTCTGCTGCAGAGGGCTCATCAGAAGAAGGTGGTGCTAGTTCAGCGAGCAGCTCCTGTCAGGTCGTAAACGATTAGACATCCAAGGACTGGTGTGCAAGGCCTGTCCTTGTCCAAGGTGTCGTACAAGACTGATGCTTCTGCTGGGACAGAGTTGCCTACCTCGCCTACCTGACACAAGAAATGCAGAGAAGCTTCACAGTCACAACCTGACTCTGGGCGTCCATCCTCAGTAACACCTTTCGAGTCTTCAACTGTGGCCTGCGGTTGTGCGAAGCTGCAGTATGATAGCAGAACCTGATAAACCTCTGATGGGTCTTTTGGCCTCCAAGATCTCCATCATGTTCTCCTCTGACTGAGAAAACCCCATCAGCACGGCAGCTTGCTTTCCTTAAGTCGTGCAAGTCGTATGTCATAACAGCATGCACAACATCCCTGGCATCAAACTCCCCAAGTGGCAGCCAAGATACCTTTGGCAGCAGGGCCCGTGTGCTGAAGCTCTGCCTTGCAGCATTCTGTCAATATGAAGGTATAGTGACAGTGTATAGCAAACATCAGGCCTGCTGTACATCTTCCGCCGCGATGGCATCGCTGACCTCGCTGCCCGCCTGCTGAGATCTACCGCACTGACTTCCAGCGCAAGAATTTCGTCAGGCAGGTAAGTGAGAAACCGAACTGCAAACCGTGAAGGCGAACCGGAACAAGACACGGCAGAAGAGAGAAACAAGAAAACCAAACGCTCGATCGTAAAGACCTTTCTCGTGATAATCCGTGATTGACTGTGCGCTGCACGATTTCATACTCGACAAAAGCATGCGAAGTGGCTCATAATTCGGACGTAATGCGCGCCAAGAACACCAAGATCACAAGCCATAGCTGTCCAACAAGCAACCTGAACCTTCAACCCCTGGACAAGAAAAGCAGGAATTGAAAACCAAACAGCACCGGAGGTGTCCAAGCCCACCCGAAGTGAATCACTGAAAAAAAGAAACTGCAGCCGAAGCGAACCGAACCATCCATCCCCTTCCTGCTCGGGCACCTGGACAACTCCACTAGGTATTGCAGGCGGCTTTTCCCCACTGTCTTCCTGAACCGTGTCTCATGTAAAGCTGGTTCGCAAAAGCACGGAGACAATGAAGCAATAAGCCTTCAGCTCTGGCGCAGTCGTGCTTGCGTCAGCAGGTTCCTGTACCCAAGCCGCTCTATGCACTGCTTGTTTACGGTGTCGGGTCAAACGTGCCCGCTGAACTTGTTGGGTATCTCTGAGCCACACAGGATTTGACAAGTTAGCCAGATTGCTACTATCCTCGGAGGAGAACCAAGACAACGCCAACTTCCGTGAGCACTTGACACTTGTCCGAAATGATGTCCTCCCCAACCGTTGTTGCCGCAAGCTCATCATCGCCACCGTAGCCGAAGGCAGGCACCTGCAATGGAGCTTTGCTAATGCATCGAGATCAAATGCCATGCAGTCACAGCAGGGTGACCCGGTCAGTCGAATCATCTTTGGATGTGATGTCAACCTGCAAAGTAGGCCGTCTGGAACCAGATGCTCAGGAAAACTTCCCATCCGCTAAAATTCTTGAAGCAAGCCTGTCAAAGAACATGTTTCGCGCATTGCTGCCTTGCCTGCAAAAACTCCGAGCTTCCCATGAAGGTCAACGCTTTTCGGAGGCCGCTTCCGTCCTCACTTTCTGGGAAGAATCACTGTGCAGCGACTTAGAACATTCGAATGCCATAGATGCCTCTCAGAAAGAGGCTGAGGCTTTGCCATTCTGACTTTGTTATATCTTTACCACTGCTGCCATGCGAAGGAGAGCTAGGGGAGCAGGGCAGAGGCCGGAAAATATGAAAAGCTCCTCAGCTTCGCCGTCAGCCATCATGTCGCCGATGTCCTTTCTCTTAAGCAGATGCAATCGCCGGACATGTTTCTCAGGTCATGACATCGGCCCTCGCAAGATGGCATTCGTTGCGAATGCCAGCAAGTCCTGTTGCCTATCGGTTCCCTGCCATATCCTACCCTCATGACCGTCCTGGGTCATTTCTGCCATGATGTCTCCCAATCCTTTCGTGGCACCTGGGTGCGGTGTTTGACATTGCTGAACTAAGAACGACGTGATACAGAGGTCGTCATGTAACAACATTTTGACTGCATCCTGCATGTATCGCATGTTGAATTTCATGTGTCTGGTGCCCCCCGCTGAGATCTTCAGGCACTTCTGTCTGGCTTCCGGCCTGGTCAGATTGTAGCCATTCTCGGATGTGGCTCTGGCATGTTACGACAACCAGCCTCAGCCGATTCCTTGGAACCCTTAGAGTCTCTTGACTTTCGCCGGGGCTTCCTCCAGGTGTGTCCTGACCTCTCCTTCTGGAGTAGGCCTCATACACCGGATGCAGGTATTGAGTATGTCACACGTGGAAGAAATCACACCATCGAGGAGATGACATTCTTTTGGAGAATCAATGAGCTCCTGATTGGCAGTCGAAGCCCAAACAACAAAGGCATACAAAGGCTCACCGTGCTTGAACGTCTTCTTTAGGGAATCTACGCTGGCACAACCAAATTTACGATGAATTCAAGCGGCATGGAATTGCACGAGCTTTTTGACCTCAGATGACCGTGTTGCTTTACAGGGTCAAGGATTTCAAGAAATCCAGCTTGACCAAGGCACCGTTTTATTGCAGTCGAACACCACTTTGACCTGCAGACTCCGAGATGGCCAGGCATGGTATCCAGAATGCTTAGGCTATCGCGTGCCTGGCGGGTCCTGGAACAGACATCTTTGATCTGAACCGGCAGAACGCGGTGCTGGCTGGTCGACCACCAGTAGGCCTGGCATTTTCAGGAAGTATTGCAAGCTGTCGTCGTGCAGGAGACATGAGTTGCTGTTGACAGGCCGACCTTGTGGCCAGGCTGTACCCAATCAGGCAACTGCTGGATTAGTTCCTTGGCCTGCAAAAAAATCTGAGGGGACGACGGCACACCCCAAGGCATGAGCTGACTCTGCACATCCATGTTCCGGTCCTTTTGCTGGAACGGCTGGAGCAGCCAGTCATCCTGCCACTATTGTTTTGATTAGGCAACGTCTAGGTCTTCAACTTCAACATACAAGGCACCTGCTTCTGGAGGAAGTGCTCGAAAGGTACCATCTTCCAACAGCTGGCATCCTGGAAGTTTGAGCGACACAGTAAGAACAAACACATGCAAAGCCAAAGGCCGTGCTAAGGAATCCTTGCCTGGACAAAGGTGACCTTGGCTTCAGGACTGCTTCTTCTCATGAACTCTCAAAACACCAAAGCATCCTCAAGCTCCGTTTGATCATCTGGGGGCTTGCTCCACCTTGCCCTCAAGTTCCCCTGAAGCGATTAGGTCGCATTTCACGCAGTTTACTGTCATGTACGACTGGCTGGAGACCTTGTCCCACGTCATACATTAAGGCATTGCACTCTGCAGAAACAGGCAGGTACAAGACGCAGAGTCCACTTGTACTCGGGTCCATCACTTGCGGTGTTTTATACTTCAACGCTATGCGTCTGCGACGTCTTTTCATGCCACCCGTAAGGTGTTGCAATAAGCTTGCGCCGGCAGGGCACGACACCTGCAGTAGTCAAAATTCGCAAATGAAAAGAACAAGCTGGAGGAGGCACACTAGGACATCCGCACGTCAGGCAAAGCTCAAAGGTCAGTCTGCTGTCCCAGCGTAGAAGGTCTCACTTGCCCATGTCATCGCACTTTGAGGCGACCAATCCATAGCAAAATTCAACAACAATACGCCGCAGCCTGCTGCAAACGATCAAGCTACGCTAACTCGCGAAAAGTTACGTGGGATTAGCCCGAAGTCACGCCACCTGCGTAAAGTCATTCCAGGAAGTATGAAACGCGATTTACATGTGCTGTCCAAAGCAGGTTTTGTAACAAGCGCGAAGGGCCCGTGGCAGTGACTTGTTGGTGAAGCGGACCAAAACCACTTTTTTTCATCCGAGTCCACAAGCACACGCACATGTTGATGCATTGTGTCAAGTCATGTGAGGAGCTATTACATGCCGTGTACACACGTTGCCCAAAGCAGATTTTGCAACAGTCAAGTAAAAAAGTGGCGCGTGACATGTGACTTGTCGGTCCGCTTCAAACACATCATTTTACATTGCTAACCCCTGCAACAATATGAAGATATTCACAAACGCTGTGTCCGTAAAAAAGACTCTCCAAGTACACAAGCTTGCAGCTCACAAAACAATAATGAAGATATTCACAACCGGTTACGCTGCGTACCTTGGCCCCTGCGTTTTGAGCATGTTCCACAAGCATTTAGAAAGGCATCAGTGTGAAAGACCGAGCTCTGTTAATTCTTCGTTGATTCGAACTCGTTCACCCTCAGCATCACTCATCTGTGTGGTCTTGTGATACACGTCCCTAGAGAAATCTGTATACGAATATATGCAACCCCGCCATGGATCTACCTTTTTCCAATATATGTGCTACCCTTCCCCCCTGGCCTACCATCTAGGGACATTTTCCGGGTTAGTGAAAAGAAAAACCATGAAGAAACCATTGTTTTGGACACCTGTAACAGTGACTTTACAGCAATACACATTCCTCGCACCAACTTGCAGTGCGTACTTTCTAGAATGCTTTCAGTTCAGTACGGTCAAAACCTGATTCCTGTTATGCGACTTACTCTCTGTGGGTGCTGCGTCAAAAAAAAAGCGGTGAACATGAAGATGTATATCTAGTATCATGTTTTTAAAAAATGAAAAGCGAAGACCCAGAAATAAGCATTCTTGGTGGCATCCTCCATTTTCAAACATGTGCAGGGCGAAGGTTAGGGTTGCACTTACTGGCCTTTCCATTTAACTTTATCAAATTCTTATGATATCAGATGTACTGTAACCCAAGCAATTAAAGTACTTGCATGTAACAATTACATCAACTGGACTGTTTTGATTATTTGGGTTCGCTTGAGTAATCACATTATGGGGTCCTAGCTGTTTCCTTCGTTTGACCGATCAAAAGAACTGCGCTGACTAGATGAAGTAGATTCAGGCTCAGGCCCTGTAATCCAAATAGCTTCAAATAACTAACCTAAGCCAATGACTCAGATTACATGGGTTCACACTCACGCCCCCCAATCTCAGTAATGAAAGTACTACGATACGTGTTAAAAGCATAATATTACTGAGATGACCAGCTTTGTGGTTCGAATTCTTGAATGAATCTAACGAGTCAAGCTGCTAGGTTGACTAGATTTCGGCCCAGGCTCCCTAGTCAAGTCAATTGAACCAATATACATATATATATATGCATATTAATTGGGTTCAAGCAAACGCCCCTTTAATGTAAGCTAAACTAGTAACTATTTGGATTATGTTGGCTGATCAAATTGTGGGCTCCTGACTGTGTTTAAGTAGTTGAGTTGGATCAAGTCGATTCAGGCTCACACTGCTTACTGCAAGCCTAGCAACCAGATTCCCTTTCAAGTTTGTGCATTTCCGGATAGCTGGATTACTCACTCATCAAATTACGGGATCCTAGTCGTCTCCTTCATTTGGTCGAGTAAATGATTGGTACAGAAAAATAGATTCAGGCTAAGACGCCAAAATCCTATTGGTCAAGTTCATGGATTCAATGGACTGATTAGATTTGCTTAATTCACACTCAGGTTCCCTAATCGAAACAATCCAACTAATGAAGGTAATGCAACAATCAAATGAATGAGACGACTTAATTCCATAGCTTGATTGATCAAAGTCGCCAGTTGAATCTAAAATATTGAATTGTCTGAACAAATGGATCAGCTGGATTCAGGGTCAGACCCCCAACCAAATTGATCACATCAATCTAACACATGGCATTAACCAAACCAAAGTAAAGTCGTTGATCCAATGATGAGCGTCATGTTGTAAATTTGCTTCAAAGTACTAAAATTCTGCAGTCCTGGCCGTCTTCGCTTGATTAGCTAGCTGAATTAGTTTGTCTCAGGCTCCAGCCCCCTACATTTAATCAAGCTTAAGAACTACTCAGATTCATCAGGGACATTGCCGTATCTTAAACAGAGTTGCATTGTTAGATTGAGATTCCAAAATCTCTACGTAATAAATACGGAAATTCCAAAAACAACAAAGATTGAAGCAATCCCAAAATTGGAGGAAGCAAGTCCTATGACCTTTGGACTTCCCAAACATGCCAAAAACTGTTAGGTCCTTTACCTTTGGAGTTGTCCAATACCTTGCGACTCGCGTCATTTCGACAATTCCGATAATTCTCTAATTGGAGGAACCAAGTCCAAGGAGTCTGGAATTCTAAAAATCACAAACACGGTTGGTTACACTCTGGGATTTTGTACATTTTTGGATTGTGTGGACTCGCGCATCTCTGGGCATTCCCAAAACGCCTAAGAAATTCCAAAACTGGACGAACATGGTATGGACGAACGATGTTCTGTATTCCAAAAACCCAGACCACGGGTGATGAGATTTTGGATTTCTTTGGAATGTGGCATTCCCACATGAACAAGACATGGTTCGTCCATCTCAGTAATCTTAAGTAGAATTTCTGGATTTTTTGGGCTGTACATGTCATGAATGAACATGCCTGACACCATCAGGATATCTGATCTACACAGGTTTGGTGCAGAACCGCAATGAATCATATCAGCACATACTAGGATACTACGAGAACAATTCTACACAAAAGTGCTGAGCTGCTCTGCGCAACCTCTCAAATCCTCAAGTACACTTGCTTGCAAGCAGCAACGAAGATAGCCACAACACTGCGGCCGTAGACAAGAATCCCCATGCACACGCCCTTGCAAGTTATACGATATTTACAAGAGGCGTCGGAATCCCCATGTACATGCCCCTGCGGCACGACTTCACACAGCAAGGAACGACTTAACGCAGGTACTCGTACGACGAAGCATGTGGGATCATGTGGGCGAGGCTCAGCTGCAGTCAAAGTTGCGGTGACTTGTCTGGCGGATTCGTCTACGTTAGTGATGGTCACGTCGCAGAACTGCTTCTGCGAGTTCGACCACCACCTGCGCCCAGGCAACTCACAACACCAGCTTGGCCTTTACCGACTCGGTTGCACTTCCGCCTGGCACGTTCGTTAACCTTATTGGGCAGAAACTCTAGACCAGCCAGAGATCTGTCTAGATTTTCCAAGCTAGCAACCTGTATCCATTCTGGAAGGTCCTGGCAGTGATTTCTCAAAACACCGCGATTGTCATCCCAATCTGTGGCCAAAGCGAAAGAGAACATCATGAACACTCCGAATCCTTCGAGACGCTGTCTGCAGTCTCGCCTAGCAGCTGGAGGTGGCTCCGTGTGAAAGCTTCAGCTGTCAGCACCGAGACCATGGCCAGGCTCCATTTCCAGGAAATTTCGTGGAACCCAACCTTCGGAAAGCCCATCCTGGCAAGCCGGGTACTCCAGTCAGACATAGACTTGAACATGCTTCAGCACAACACGCCTCGTTGTCTTCAGTCGCACTTGAACACCATAAGAACCCCACAAAACCAAGTGCGCATGCATCGCACGCCTCTGTTCTGCACCAGATCCAATCAGCATTGTCCTCAGTCGGCAACAACCTCTCCATGGCTTTCTAGAGTTCCACTGAGCAAACTGGCGAAAACAGGGCTGCGGCAGCATCTACTACCAGCACGCGGCTACCCTGAGCCACACTGAGCTCGTGCTCACTATTGCCAACGACCTGATTGACAGTTTGACAGCATTTCTAACCTGTCAGGCAAAGCAAAGTCCAACTGGCCTCGCAGGTGGCCGTGGCATACTTTCCCGCGGCATTCTGCGAGAGGCCGTGCTGCGACCTCATCTGTGTCACTCTTCCAAAATCCACGCGGCTGTCCCTCAACTTGGACGTGAAGCACTTAGCACAGCTGAGGCTTTTACAGCGCATCGGTGATCTGTTGCAGCTCAGTCCCTAAATACAAACCTTGGCATGAAAAAGTTTTGCGAATTCAAGCGCAGGCGCATTCCCTCCACTTTCCGCAGAATGTGTCAATCAAAGCCCCAACACACCAGCAAAAGCACTTCACCAGCCCAGCCAAGACGCAGAACTGCATGCACTTCTCCATCCACTCAGGATCTGCACTGCGATCTTCTGGCTTAGCCTAGCGTCACTCAACATATTCAACGACATGTCAGCCGGTATGTCAGAGAGATTCTACATGTTTAGATACGTGCAGAGCCTGGCGGGTCTTAATCGCAGCTTTGACAGTTCTGCGTTGGTTTGGCTTTGCTGGCCGATTGCGACCCCTCTTGCCGGCTAATGCGGTTGCGGGTTCTTGGCTTTGCCGCGCCTGTGCCAGGTAGGTCTCCAGTTGCACTGCATAGGCAACCACCTGGCAAAGCTTATCCTCAGAATCGCCCAGATCAAGTCTGAAATCGACACCATCCCATGCAGGAGGATTTGAACTAGCTGGCATGTGCTCCGTCCGATCTTGAGCCACTCAGCATCTTGCTGGTGCCAGATGGGTTTCCGCTCAGCCAGCAAGAACGTGAAACCTGTGGTGTCCTTGTAATCCGCACGTGCAAAAAGACTCCTGCATGGGCCTCCTCCAACGCTTGCAGCACAAGCCTGTGCCACTTGGACCTTGGACAATATGAGGCAGCATTAATTCTGCATAACGTAGAGAAGTAGACCTTAGGTCTGAATGTGCATGAAGTTTACTGCTCCAAAAGGTCAACACTCCAGACCTTGAAGTTTTCCAGCCTGTGGGCTGACATGAGATTGCCTATGCCGAGCCCTTCCCATGGCAGCTCATGATTCCAAACGTCACCAGCTCTTCTCGAATCAGGATTTTTTGCACATCCGCACTGATATTCATTCAGCAGGGCATGGCAAAGACGTGACGCCCTTGCAGCAACCATGCCCATGCGGCAAGCGGCACCATGAGGCTCCCGCGCAAGCATTGCTTCGGAACGATTGTCTTGCAGGTAAGCATCGGTCACCCAACCGATTTGCCTTGTTGCCATGGAACGTGACCGGTCTTACTATGGAAAGGGTGCAGCCGAGTGCAGCCGAACCTGTCGTTGACCGATCCTGGAAGCTGTGGGCCTCAAACACAGGATGTGAGATTGGCTGCTGGGAGTTTGATCATCAGGACACAGCTGTCCGACAGTCCGTTTGTGAGTCACCTTCCCTTTGCATGGCTAAGGTCTACCGGAAAGTGACCAGACCGCAGAGATCCCTAAATCATTTGTGACAGCACCCAGGGCAAACATAGCCGAAGCTAGCGAATGCAAGGGGTTCAACAGCCAAGAAGGGAAAATTGAACCTTTACGCACCACACGAACGACAAAGACAATGGAAAAAAAAGGAGACTCCCCTTCGAGGGCGGCACAGGAGTGCGGCAGCGGGCAAGGCTTGACAGAGCTAGGTTTTTCCGAGTATTCCCAAACTTGCCGTATGCAAAACAATGCTCGAACACGCGGGGCCTATCCCCAAACTGGACCACCCACCTGTCCAGAGGCGGCACTGCGCCCAACCGCTATAATGCCGGCTGACGACCTGCGAAATTGAGGCTGCTTGAACAATGAGTTCACTGGCCCCAAAACACAAGCTAGATTTGTCTTACTACGCATGAGGTCAAAGCCAGTGTGAAACTTTGGAGGATGTGAAAAGTTTTCCTCGCTAAACGGTTGCCGCGGGAACGGCCAGCCAACATTACTTAGCCGCTGTATCTAGTTATCTAGTGCGTGAAGAAGCCGTGGCCATCGCTGCAGCGCCGTACTGTACAAAACAAGCTGACGTTTGCACTCACTGCTGGGCTATGAAGCTCTAACACCTGGACTGCAAGTGCACAAATCCAGGTGAATGGCTGCCTTCCTGTCATTCCTGTCTGCTATGCTTGCGCAGGCGGTGTGGAAATGTGGACCAGCTAAGCATTAGCAGGATGTAGTAGCTCTGTAGCGTTAGAGGAAGCGCCACGCCGGATAATACTGTGTGCTACCTTGAGACTGGGTCAGCATTTGAACATCTTCGCGGCTTTCTGCAGGAACTGGAATACTTCGGTCGCCATCTTTACCTGCAGCTGTATCCCTCAAGCTAATGCAACTGGCACCCTGTGCCGTTAAAGGAGCCGGTGGCACGAGCAAAACACAGGGCAAAACAACAGGCTCTTTGCTGAAGCATCCAAGTGACTCTCCCAGGGTTTTTGTCTGGATGCCACTCACGCAGCAATTTACGGAAAGCTTTTTGTTTCTCCTCGTACAATAGCAGCAACTCCGAGCGCTGCCCTTACAAGCATAAAGCCACGACAATGGAGAAAAGCTTTACATTAAAGATCATTAAAGTTAGTGTAGAGATTTGTGCAGGCACAAAGTGCTCCTGGCCATCCGTCATCTGACTGATGTCTTGGATATGCCTCTGCCACATGCAGGCAACAACATGTGAGCCACTCATCCAAAAAGGCGCTAAGCTGCGGCCGTGTTGCTGCATAGCTTCGCGCTTGGCATCGGTTACGTCTGCTGGCCTGACAGGCGCCAGTCTACGCACCCTGCTCTGCCTCAACAGCTGGGCTGCAAAGTAACGAGACACAAAACTGTCAGCTTCGTGCAATTGCGTGCACATGTTCAGGTAAAGGAAACGAAAAGGCTCAAAGCAACAGAGGCGCTTGTCTGTTGAAATCAGCCCTGCAGAAGACGAGCTGGTACTTGATGAGCGACTACCTGAGCATTACGTACCATTTGTGGTACTGATACCTAAACGGCTGACGGAAAGGAACACTGCAACCAACGAGAAAATGCGCCGCAGATTGCTTGAAAATTCGATATTTGGATGAGAGGTCATGGTGCAAGGCCTCAGCTTTCCTTGTGTTTATTGAATACCGTGGCTATGAAAATTGTCAATGATGCCATATCTGAACCTGCGCCACAACTTATCTTTTGCTGTGAACGACTTTACGATGAGTAGAGTACTTAGGTCAGGAGAAATCGGAATGAACATCCGAATGGAAGCTAGAAACATCTGGGCACTCGTTTTTTTCATGCACTAGAGACACTCCAGACCCAGCCCACCCACCATTTGAACGGCCAGCCCAGCTAACCTCTGAGTATACACTGTGGGTTTAAAGCCTTTCAGAAGAGCGGTCATGTCACAAGGCCCATTCATGCGAAATTGCTGACGTGCCACGTCTACGGTGGCTGTGATGGCTGTGGCTTCGTCCTTTTGGCTTTGCCCGGCTGTTGCTGCGGCTTCTACTTGGCAGCCGCGCTTTTTCTATGGCCGCGGCCGCTTGCCCAACGCCCCTACAGGGACATTTACATGAAGATGCTGAAGACACTCATAATGTGACACAGAAAACGCTGACGGCACCTGCCCACTCACACCCTATCCGCTACAAGTCTACAACCATGACCTTAAAAATCGAGAAAAAAAAAAAACNNAAAAAAAAAAAAAAAAAGGCTTTTTCACTGTATGGAGCTGCAATTACTCCTTTCCCAACTCCCGGCCTTTGGTGGGCGCTTAGTGGCTTGACCTGACCACACAAAGTGCACCTTGCCTTCATGGTCAAGTTCTTTCCTCCACATGGACAAATCCATCCCATCCAGGCATTTTCTGCGCTGTCCTGAGCTGCGAAAAGCATCCTCGGATCCATGGAACCTCTTCAACACTCAGTCAACATTTCAAGGCTGCACAGGAGCTCGCTGGGCCATCTTCTCTGCTATCCTTGCCTGCCAAGAGCACTGCAACAGCGAAAACAACTATTACGCAAAAGTTTCTCATTCATCTCAGCAAATGCCTGCATTGAAGCTTTGTTCTTGGAGCCTGAAAGCAGCTTGATGTCGACTGAACAATGTTCAACAGGCAGGTGACGTGTTGACCTGTGCAGCCGGGCTGCCGGAACTGGATGTGGACGAAGAGCTCGAGCTGGAGCTGGAGATTTTCTTGACTGACTCGCTCATGGTGAGACGCGCTCATGGAAAAGCTCGGCTGGAGCTACAGCATTGCGCTTGCAGGGCGGCCCTAGCACGAGGCTTGCGAATAGCAAGCGGCGGACGCTCCAAAAAGAAGGTTCGAACTAGTGCAAACTTTGCTTGCTGAGAGCATGCAAGACTACGAGATCTTGGGTTCTGGAAAAAATCCGGGGATGCATGCAAGCTACGCGGGGGAGGGTCCTAGACGTCTGGTCTTGTGGTATTCTTTCTCCATGCTACATGAAAGCGTGCGTGTTTGACACCTGCCAAAATGTGAAGAAAACATGCAACAGATACGTGGCCTGAACCCTTGAGCACAATGGCAGCTTCTACTTGACATGCCACACACAAGTGAAGCATGCCACTCACGCGGCACACTTATTCTTCTTTGCCGCAGGCTGCCTCAACAACGTCGCCAAGCCTGAGATTTAGAAGTCCTCGCATTGAACGAGTCTGATGTCGAACAGTGTCAATCAGCGACAACATGTCCAGAGGACCATCCATGCATGCCAACCGGCCATGAACACAACTCAGCCATGACTTACGGTGCCTGCTAGATTAGATGCATTCAAGCTCTTTGCTTGCTGGATCGACGTCTTCCCAGTCCTTCTGCGTCGCCCACTTCATGATCTGCAGGGCTTGCAGCTCAAATCAGTGCTTCGACTTACCGAGCAACCCTTCCAGAAAGCCCTTGCTTGCCGTGTGCCTGCGATGAGTTGAGCAAGCTCTGCGATACGGTCTGCTGGCAACCAGCCAGGCGTCTTGTCACCTATGCGCCGGCAGTATGCCCAGCCTGCAGGGCTGCAGGGTACGTTGCATTGCGCGGACAACGGCTACGGCTCTTCAACAGCTTGGCCTCCCATTTCGCGGACTAAGATCTCCTGACACATCAGTCCATGCTGCAAAGGCCAAACTTCGCTGGACAGAACCAGAATTGAAAATTGCGAGCAAACTCTGAACTGCAAAGCCAACCTCCACTCCCAAACTGGGACCACCACTTACTGAAAACAGCTAGCGCCATGTCCATTTTTGCTGACCAGGCGCTATTTCTTGACCTTCCCTGGCCTCAATTTAGCAGCCGAACTTCGACACATCTGCTTATCAAGAACAAGATAGCAAAATGCCGTCCTGCAACAAATGCTGGGCAGGTTGCTTCTAGCAGTGGAACTTCTGGAGTGGAGCTCTCTGGCTCATAGCCCACCTGATCCATTTGTTACTTTTGCAGAAGGTGTTCCTTTGCTAGCGTACTTATGCAACTGCTGCCGAGGCACTGTGACGATACCATTGACTCTAACGGGCTGATCTTCCAGAACGCCCAGCCTTGTGAGAATTGCATTCAAAAAACGGGTTAGCATTCAGTCAGGAGCCCCTCCCCAACAACATGCTTTCAGGTCAGGTGTCTTGGAGTTTTCAATGTCCGCGACTTGGACCTGCAGCTGCGCGCTGTAATCCTCCACGCAGGGCGGAACGCGCAAAAGGGAAACAGGGACTCACTATGCAAACATGGCCTCAGCCTTCGTGCGGATGCCCACCTTACCCAACAAGTGAGCTGTCCAGTCGCATCATCCCAAACACAAAATAAATCTCCCTGAGATCGTTGACTTGAGTCTGAGGGATCCCCCTTCAAGTTCTGACAGTGACGTATGATCCCGATTATATAATACAAAAAGGCGGGGGTGTAACCATTTTTGCCTTTATCCACTCAGAAACGGTTTATAAGATGGGGGGGACCTCAATTCACCGGAGCTGTAAAAACCAGTTACAAATGGGGGGCAGCATTGCACGCGACTCCCCAGTCTGCTCAAATTCCGGCTACCCCTTTACGAAGGGTGGCTTCACAGGATGTAGCCACGGGGATGTGGTACCAAGCACTGGTGCGAGGGTAGAACAAAAATACTTAACAGGCTTGAGGCGTGGTAGCGCATATGTATATATGCATACGGGCTGTATTCACACTGTTTATGGGCATGCTTTCCCTCCCGCCCGTAAGTATCACAGTGATGGTGCCCCCCCATGTTCTAAAAACCTAGGTTTACATGAGAGGGAGCGGGGTGGCTACCGCTTGTATTTCTTTAATTGAATGGGGGAGAAATGGCAACGTATGGCATGGAAGGCCCCATCCATGACAGAAGGGGTATCGGAAGGGGATTCTCAGGGAACGTGGAGATTGGGACAGGCAGAAAAAGAAGTATAGCGCTGTAGCTTCGTGCAGCCAACTGAGAGCTGAAGCCACGGATGCAGCCGGGCAGCGATTCGCTGAGCGATCGCTTCGATGAGCTGAGTTGTCTCCTCGTCATCTTCTGGCGGCTTTCCCTCCTGCACGCGCGACTTTGCACATCATCGGCTGACGCAGACTGCAGTGCAACAGGCAGTTGAAAAATCCATCGCCTGCTCTTCATTCGCAGGATCCGCTTTCTTGCTGGCAAAGCAGCCCATGGCACTAACTATCAACCAGGATGAACCCTTGGGAATCTCGAACGATAACTTGCTTTACTGGTCATCTAGGTGTCCTGCAGGCATTGAAACAAAAAGTGCCAAATCTCTTGCTGGATCTACTCAGTGGTGTGGGATCGTAACATGCTTCAACTGAAACTAAACCTCGCAACGAGAAAAAAAAAAACAATCAACTACACCAGCGGAAGTGGCAAGGTGGCCAGCAGGTGGCCTCAGCTCGAAAGCATCGGGTTTGCTTTCAGTTCAAACAGCCATCATCCAGTGCTGCCGAAGCGCCCATAAACCTTGCAGAGTGGCTCCGAAGCAGGCGCTTTGCGACCGGCTTGGGCCAAGCTTGACTGAAAAAACAACACGTCGTTCTGTGCATGCTAGATACTTCTCAAACCTCCTTGCACTGTCCAGGGCACAGCCTTGCAAAAACTCAGCGGCGACATGACGATGACGACAATACTCGACTCTACCCCTAAGAGCTTACCATAGTATACCTTCCCCCAAGTGAACGGAACTGATGGTGGGACCTTTCTTGTTATCAGATTTGCGGAAGTGTGTGCGCGCGCGCGGGTGTGTGTGTGTGTGTGTGTGTGTGTGTGTGTGCGAGACCTCCGAAATTCCAAGGATCACAAAGTATTAGCAGCATTATTAGCAGGGGACAGGAGCTCTCCCTCCTGCCAACGAAGACACCCCCACGGAGGGGTGTAAACGTACCTGCTTATTTTTT